TCTGTTACGTCTTGATTCACTTGAAGTCATATAAACAACTCGAGCTTGTGTCTCGCCGGGATATTCAAACACTCGAAAACAATGTATGAAAAAACTCGTGCTCGTGTTTCCATACATTGTTTTCTCGTGTTTGGATATCCCGGTGAAACACTCTCTCGTTGTTCATATATTACATACTTGACTGTAACACTAGCTACATTACATGTACAGTAGTGTAGTAAAATGATTGTCTAAAAAATGAAATAACCACATAATTCAGACCTTAAATCCTTTGGAATCAACTTCTTCTCTGATGTTGTTAATGTCTTTGTCATCTGACTTATTTGAACATCTCTGAACAGCTGGACTGGATTCTTAAAGCAATACCGGTATGTTAATACTTATTAATTAAATTATATCTAAAGCGAGATTAATCTATTGAGCACCACCTGCACTCTTAGCAGTGTAGCTAGCCTATGTTCTAGTTCACTACACCATCGTTACACAATGGTGTAGTGGACTGGAACACATGCTACAGTGTAGCAGGGCCTGAAATTTATATCTTTTCTTAGTATCCAAATGGGATACCAAGATTCAAAATTTAGTATCCCCAAGAATCCACTATCCAACTTCTGGATACAGGTTGCCAGTACCATAATTATTATTTATCACTCATCACTTTTATATTACCCAATCCGCTGTACACACAATGCAAGCCATTTTTAATTAAAATTGGAATTAAGAAACTTATGGGGGCAGTTTTTCATCACAGGAACAGAAAAATTAATTTCCAGATCAGAATGTGGTATTTCTTTAATCAAAGCAAGTCGCTGAGCAAAAATTGCCTTTGATGCATTTGTCAAGCTGGAATTGCCATCATCAGAATCGACTCCCATTTCAATTACTTGAGGTGGTCATTCACCTTTAGAGCTTTTTTTTTCATTTTACAAGGTACAGAGTCAGCAAAAACATTTTTTGTAGGGGTACAGTGATAAAAATCAAAATCTGAAAAAAAATTTTTGGTTACTCATTAATTACACTAATTATCCAATATGGCCGCCCACTAATTAGTCAAAAAATGGCGTCGCATGTAACATGACACTGCAGACACAATTAATCAGAATAACATAAATGACATATATTTGGAAAGCTTATAACATGATCTAGCCCCTGACCATCTTTATTTTCACTTTAAAACATTTTTATCTGAAATTTGGTAAACAATCTGCACATTAGAGAAAAAAGGAATTTTTTCATACCTAATTAGGTAATTAAACCTCATTTATACATTACTAATTAAATATATTTAATATAAAAATGGTGATTCTCTTCATAATGTTAATAGCCACAAACATACCAAGTTTCAACCTTTTACACTTAATATTCAGAAAGATATGCTGTCACAAAGATCAATTGGAATGACAAAACTGCCAAATTGAGAAAATAGTATTTTAACGTTTCGTTCTTTTTTTATAGTGTCTAGAAGGCACCTGCTTCATAGGTAACACCTTCTTTCTCTTCAATACTGTCAACATAGTTCTTTCTTAGGTGTCTCAGTACTTTTCTTCTCTTTTTCACTGTTTCAGTGCTCTTCTTTGCCGACAGTTTTATTCTCGAATTGTCGCAATCTTCAGTGGCTTTACCAGTAAAGATACCTGGGGTTATATCCAGGTCATTAAATAACTTTAAAAAGGAAATGTCACCATCATTAAACTTTAAAATGGCTAAGTAGGTGGCAAGAGCCACAGTTTCTTGCTCAACATAAGTAGACTTGGGACATCTGTCCCAGATAAGCCTGTTCAAGCATTCATTCACATTCTGTGTCAATCCGTGAGTACATTTATTCAAGAGTTCAGTCTTACTAAGATCCTTATAAATAGGTTTGATCAAGTCAACAATACAGCTTGGGATTCCATTTTTATGTTTATATCCCTCCTTGTCTGTCTTATATCCACACCAGCTGTCCTTTCCGTCTGGACAGAGATGATGCTGTGGATTCTCAGCAGTTGACGCAACATGGTAAAGAGATGCTTCTATGGACTTCGCCATTGTACCAACATCATCAAGGTTTTCTCTAACTGCCAAGCCATAATAGTTTTGTAAAACATCTATTTTACTGTCAGTCAGCCTACCTTTACCAGCTAAACCTTTACCATCAGCCAATTTCAATCCTTTGTTGGAACTTTTAAGTTTGCGGAGACGACTTCCAACCCGCTTTTGAACATGGCCAATGCATTCTAATTTGTTTGGAATGAAATCCTCTCCATATGGCTGGCTTTCGACAATGGTGTTATAGGTTGAGGAATCACCATCTCCAAGCATATCCATATATTTCAGCCCTCTTGTAGCTAGAGACCGTTCAAAAATCCGAACAGCACCAGTTGTCTCCATGCTGCCAGCACTTCCTTGATGGTTGACCTTGCACTTGTGGGATGCTTTCCATGCATTGTACCTTGGGTCATTTTTCTTCTTTTCCCACTTTTGGCATTGTTGGCACTTGTCTGACAACACTTCCACATCGAGACATTTCTTTGTGTCCAAGGAGATCACAGTAACGACCCCATTGTGCGACGAATATCCTCTCTTCTGCCAAGTACCGTCGATCGATATTCCACATTCTCCATCATCATTTGCCCTCTCATCTCTGACTTCATAAGCATTGTTGACCATGCTATCAGTAGCCAACTTCTTCACAACTGGCAAAACCTTTTCATTTTGAATCTTTGTGAAGACACGGCGGGTTGGTGGGGCAGGCATATTCATGACCTTATTGAAGGTAGTCATAGCATTATGACCTTTGCCAATTTCCCTGAAAGCCAGGACAGTTTTTACGTTCACTTCATAAGAACGACCTTGTTTCTTTGAAGTGTTAAAAGAATACTTCCAATCACACTCCATATTCGTACACTGTAGCACAATGTAATTGGAATATCCACATTTCTTTCTCATGTCAACATGTGAATCTGTATCACATCCACAATCAGGGCATTTCAAAACTTGGTCAAGTACATTAAATAATATGGATAAATCCATGAAAATAGTTCCTTCTTTCAGGGTACTATCAATGCTTTTCGACAAACCACGAATTAACTCAGTATTCTGGCTAATTTTTCTCCCAGAAGGTCCAGGATCTTTATAGCTTGGTCCGCCATCTTGGATTATATTTCGTTTCCTTGATGGTGGAATCTTTCGTTTTTTTCTCGCTCTGTTTTTCAAATTCCCCATTTATTCACTCAGAAATACAATCAAAACAAAAGAAGGGATGTAATTCTACAATTTAACACCAACTTTTCAACTTATTAACGTAAAAAAAACAACAATTTTCAGAGACAATTTTCACACAGCTTGCTATAAACAAATCGAGCACGATTTGGAAAATCAGCGCGTTGCTATGGCGACGAAAATGAACCAATCACAAGGAGATTTACAAGCATGGCTTTAAATAACATACATCAAAAGTTGAATAGAAAAAAACTTGTTTCTAAGTGCAATAATCAAGCAAATTTGGAAGGAAAACACGTTGCTATGGCGTTGCTATGGGAAAAAGTTTAAAGTATGGTCTCTTGAAACCTGATTTCCTCATAAATAAGCATTTTTTCAGGCAAACAAACCATGTTATCTTAAAGTATAGTACTTAAAGTACCTAAACATATAAATAATAAAAATTTGATTTCTTTTTCAAAATTCACGTTTTGAAGGGGAATGACCACCTTAAGGGCGATTCGGTGTGCTGAATGTGTAACTGGAGTATCATGTAAATCCAGTGAACTGGTGTGATTTGGTATCTGGATCTTCCCTTCTGCTGATAGCCATTAGTGTCCTCACAATTGGAATTTAATTTGTTACAAAATTTTCTAATGCAGACTGTGCAGTCACTCGTTCAATCCATCTTGTCCCCCACAATGACTGAAGGTTTTTGCTGCCATGATGAACAGTGGACACTGGATAAGTTAATAGCGCATCTTAAGGTAACTTTCTTCTTGTTGCCAGTAATTGGAAAGGATGTTATCTTCTTGACAGGGCTGACAGTGCTTATCATTTTGCGAATAACGGGAAGCATTGACGCATTAACGAGTGCTCCTTTACATAAGCGCATGTGAGGGGGAGCGGCTCCCACGACCCCAACGTTAGTTAGGATTACGGTTAGTTACATAGCTAGAAAATGATGTCAGGTCGGTTTGCTGGGTGGAAAATAGTGCTAACCTTACCAATAATAGGAGCGGGAACTTAAGAGACAGAACAGCCTGCGTAGCAGTATTCGCAGGCACGAGGGAACGGGCAGCTTGAAAACCGCCTGCCCAAAAACTACACATTCTGAGTGTTCTCCGGCAGCTGGGTGACGGAGCATTCTGGTTTGTCAGAATTTTGATTTTGAATTTTTGATTGACAGGAGTAAAGAATTAAAATAATTCGTGCTAATTTTAGAAGTTAATGTCGCCGTATTAACTATTGTTATTTTCGCAATTGATACTGATCTATCAAGTGATGGCATACACTAACGAAAAACTTAAAGAATGTATTAATTGAGAAAGCATTGAATTCTTTATCTGGAATCGGTAATCCCATCGTCTTGAAGAATGAACAAAGAATATCAATCCAACATTTGTTGCTTGATAGAGATGTGATACTGAAATGGATATATCGTGATAGAAATGGAAATGCCGTGATAAAAGATGCAGATTTGAAGATGCAAGCTCGCAAATGACACTCTAAGTATAGCGATCCGAACAAGACTATTACAAAGAAGATACGTCCGAAGGGGCCAAAGTTATGTTCAGCGAAAGGTATGGCTAGTCTATATTTTTGTTCAGACAATTGCGTAATTTGATAATATACGAACTCGCTTGACTTTCAAAGCTCATAAATCGCTATAATGTTGACATCGACTAAAACTATCGCTATGAATGAGGACATATTGTTACACTGAATCGAACGTGGTATTTTTGTCTTCATAGCATTCAAGAACCGAAGATGTAAAATGTCAAAATCGTATATTTGCACTTGTGCAACACGTGAAGAGTTTGGCAAACACATTGAAATTGAGATGGGAGGAACCATGCGTTCGATGAGCGGAATGTGTAGTTTTTGGGCAGGCGGTATTTCAAGCTGCCTGTTCTCTTGTGCCCGCAAAGACCGCCTGCTACACCAGGCTAGAGACAGAGGCCCTAATCATAAGTAAGAAAGCTATGTTGTATATTTGACAATAATAATGCAGTGTACATGCATACCGTTTTCTATTTTCTGAACATATTCCCTAAACCAAGGACTTGTGCTTGCTTTTCTGTCAAGTCACTATCAGACCGAATCAACTGCAATAGCTTTCAGGACATGTTCGCTGCTCAGAGGAGACACTATTCGAACACAGGATGTGTTTGACCTCAGCAGATTTAAAAGAAGACCCTCCTTGTTTAAGAAGTCCTTGTTTAATGTCATCAATTTGCATGTTCTTTCCTCGAATGAAATACCTGATGAAGCAGCACACACTGAATAGCCTTTTCCTTTGTTTGTGAATTGTAGTGTCAGTGACGATGGGGCGGTCCAAATTGATGGCTACGTATTAGTGCGGCGTGATAGAGTTAATAAGATCGGAGGAGGAGTGTGTGCATTTATAAATTCACATACTCCCTTTAAGATATTAACCAAATTACAAGACGACAGCTTCGAAACCCTCTGGATTTACGTAAGACCCTATAGACATCCTCGTGGTTACTCATGCCTCATCGTTTGCATAGTTTATCACCCACCACAAAATGATAATAAAGCCTTAGTCGATCACTTAACGATAAACCTCGACCTTGCCCTTGGAAAATATCCAAACGCGGGGATCTTCCTTCTTGGCGACTTCGATAGATGTCCGGTGTCCGAATTACTTAGGCACTTCACGTTAAAACAAATTGTTAGAGAAGCAACTAGAAATAACGTTATTTTAGACCTAATTCTCACAAATATGCCGACCTTTTGTGATCCTCCACTGGTTACTCCACCCGTAGGACAAAGTGATCATAATTCGCTGATTTGTATTTTCAAGAAATCCCAAGCTAAAAATATGACCACCAAAGTGAAGAGAAGGAAACGGAATCCAACCGACAAATCTGCTTTTGGGAAGTGGTTAGCTGACATCAATTGGACAACGCTGTTCTGAGAAGTATCATGCGAACAGAAATCAGCCATTTTTCAAAATGTTTTAAAAACAAGATTAGATCTTTTCTTCCCCTTAGAAACAGTGAGGTTGCATGATAAAGACAAACCTTGGGTAACACCTGAGTTTAAGAAGATTATTCTAAATAGACAAAAAGCTTACCATGACGGGAAAATCGAACAGTACCACTACCTTCGTAACCTTTAACATAGACAATGTGCAAAACTTAGATCTGCCTACCTTCGAAAGATGATGGACCAGCTGAAATCGAACCCTAACCCTAAGAAGTGGTGGGAGTGCATTAAACAACTTGCAGGATACCCAAAGAAAAAAGTTTTCTCCTCCCTAGTTTGGGACGACGAGATCATCAACGGGAAAGTCCTAGCTAATAAAATCAACGATGCCTTTACCGCAACTACTCAAGAAATGTCCCCCTTGAAACAACCCCCCACTGAGACCCAGATCGATAGTAGTCAATATCTTACCCTCCCTGAGTATATTATCAGTGAAGAAAACATATACAAAAAATTAATTACTATATCCTCTTCAAAATCATCTGGCCCCGACGAAACACGAAATTGGGTGCTCAAGGAGTACGCCCACGTCTTAGCTTTACCTATATCTTCAATTTTTAACGCTTCGCTGCAACAAGCGCACGTTCCTACATCGTGGAAAGAAGCTGACGTTATCCCAATCCCAAAAGTAACAGTACCTGTTGATATAAGTACCGATTTACGCCCTATATCGCTAACTCCTACACTTTCAAAAATTTGCGAAAGTTTTGTTGCCGATTGGTTGATTGATTCGATCAAAGAAAAAATAGATGAAAGACAGTTTGGTTCACTTAAAAACACCTCAACAACCCACAACTTAATAAGTCTCGTACATCATCTACCAAGCGAGACAGACGCGGCAAAGAGTGCCATAAGAGTATTCCTTCTTGACTTCTCGAAGGCATTCGACCGTATCGACCATTCTATTCTTTTGCAGAAACTGTCTGATATGAACGTACCATCAACTATAATAGACTGGATCCAAAGCTTTCTCACGGGATGTAAACAACGAGTAAAACTGAACAACTGTTTGTCGGATTGGCGCAATATAAATGGAGGAGTAGCTCAAGGGACAGTTTTGGGTCCTGTTCTCTTTCTTACATGGTAAACGACCTACTTACTGAATGGCCTGATAGATGGAAATATGTCGACGACTGTACGGTCACCGAAAGTATCCCACCTCACTGTAACAGTAATCTCCAATACTTAGTGGACTATATTTATAACTGAACTATCGCAAACAATATGAAGCTCAACGTAGATAAATGTAAATAAATAGTCATTGACTTTTCCAAAGAAAAACGTAACTTTACGCCTCTACTGATCAACGACGTACCAGTGAAACGCGTAGAATCAACTCGCATCCTCGGAATTACCTTTCAAAATAATATGAATTGGAACGACCACATACACCAAATTGTTAGGAAAGCTGGAAAAAGACTGTACATGCTTCGGATTTTGAAAAGATCGAATGCCAATTTGAAGATATTGCTCACGGTTTTCACTTCCATCATAAGACCTGTTTTAGAATATGCCTGCCAAGTTTGGCATTTTAATATTCAACAATACTTAAGTGATCAGATTGAGAAAATCCAAAAACGCGCACTAAGAATCATATTGCCTTCATTAAGCTATAGGCAAGCACGTGAACTGACCGACCTCCCATTACTCAAATCAAGACGTGATGAACTATGTGACCAATTCTTTGCGAAGAATGAAAGTAACAGTGTAAAGTTTACGAACATCTGATCTGTAAAACTTCGTTAGATTATGACACGAGGTCAAAATGTAAATATAAAAACTTTTCATGTAAAACGGACAGATTTAAAAACTCGTTTTTACCACGAACTATCTCTAAAGAAAATAGTAAATAGATCTATTGTATTTTAAAATTTTTACCATAAACATCAAGTAGTTAATTCTTATTGTAAATATAATGTATTTTACTTAGTTTAATATTGTAAAGACCGATGCAATTTAACCTACGGTTACAATGTCGGTTTATCTTAATAAAATATAAAAAAATGTCAAATAAGTGCCTCGTTTCTAAAACCTGCATGGTACAGCAACATAGAAGTGTCATCACGCGTACTGAAAGACATTAAACTTGTAGGGTACGTCGTCCAATCCTTGGAACTAGATATAAAGACAATATAAAATTTAGAAATAATTAAAATGGTCATGATACTGTAAAAGTCACGTATGGTATTTCATCTCTCATAACCCTAACCTCATGGAGAATCTCTTGGATCCTATAATCTGGAACATTGCTAATTTAGAGGTGACACATTGCTTTACAGACATCGTCAGTCGCAATAAAAACCGACAATCAGGGACGCCGGAAAGGGGGGCGCAGGGGGCATCGCCCATAAGGGGGGCAGGGGGGGGGGCGAAAGTGCCCTTATAGATAAAAATTCTAACCCAAAAAATATGAGGTACAACGATTAAAAAGTATGAATTACGGGTGAAATGTACGTAATATTGAAATATACGTGAAATTTTTATCGTTGCACTGAACACGAGTTTGCACCGTTGACAACGGCGTTGTGCTAGACAGTAAACAAAGACAAGGTCCGTGACGGTACACGTTGGCTACATGTACCTCCTTGATTTTTTCTTCTATTGCATAAAGCTTGTTGGCGAGCCAAGCTGTACTGCCAAGTAAGATGTCAACTGCTTCATGCACATTCACAGACTTTTCAATAGCATTCGTTATAGGTTCTGGTCTAGCTGGACATTGGAAACATTTTCTCTAACTGCTGCCTCGTTTCGATTTGTATTTGTATCTGTTGTTGCTAAAAGTTAATGTTGAATCTTTGAACAAACATTATACGGACAGTACTGTATATTCAAAAAACTGGGTGTGGCTAGGATATGTACAATAGCTTTGGTTGGATTGTACAAAAAATAGTGTACACGCGAGTATTGTAAATTTTTATTGTGTACACGGCCCATTTAAAACCAGCGAATGCTGAATGGCTACCGTGTTTAAATAATTTTAATAAAACAATAAAACACTCTGAAAGAGGAAACATAGAATAGTTCCTTACGTTTCGGAGAAATACAGTAATGTCGGGATAGTTGCAAGAAAGATTCTTTTAAATGTTGTTTTTTTTTAAATTCCGATCGAGGATTTACAACATTTTTGACAGCATTTTATAAAAATTGGCCTAAGTTTTTTAATTTATTAATTTTGGAATAAAACACGCTAATTTGGAATAATTTTTTTAATTACGCTATTTTGTCCGCAACGGAACGCTATACGCGAGCGTGAGATACTATAATATATTCTATTATCTCACGCTGCATTTCGAAATCATGAATTTGAGTGAACTATACCAATGGGAAATACCAATGACACAATACAGCAGACACTCACAAGATACAATCGAAACACATGCAAATATATCGAAATCTCTGGTTCTCAAGACGCAATGAAAAACATAAACAGATTGCAGACTTGCAGTGGCGAGACTAGCAATACTGAGCAGCTAGTCCTGTTGTGCAAATTTATAATTACACTGACTGATAGTGTGTTTTTGTTGTTCAAACCCATAGTAATCTATTGTCTTTAAATTATTTTGGTACAGGTTTATTAATAACATGACATGATCAGTTGCCATGGCTAGCTCGCCATGTCAGATAGGTATGTCATCACTCTTAGCGCCGTTGGGAGTGTAGCATTTAGCATGATATTTTGTTATAATTAGGGGTGGAGACATTTTTCTCCAAACTGATAATTTGCATTATGACAACTCTCCTAGAACTGTCACGTTGTGCATATTAATTAGTCAAAACAGGAAATATGACTATACAGCCATAGTACAGGGTGTATAAAAAAAGGTAATCGAACTTCAGCGCGCTATTGTGCGTGAATTACTCAGCGTATGAACATTTTCTTCGTATTCAGAAAAATCAGACTTTTAGCTACTGAATGACCTGTTTTTCATGCCAAGTGGAGAAAAAATAAGCAAGTACAAGTCCGATAAAATGTTATAGTCAGAATAGCATATTTTCACCTCTATGCCTAACAAAAGAAAAAGCAATTAATCACGAACTTGTCGTAGCTTAGCTCAGATTTATTCCTACTTAATTAATAAAAATAACGGCTTATTGACCGAGCGTGAGGTCTGTACTGTGAAATATCAGACGGAGGTCTTTTAGTATGGACCGAGCGACGAAGGTCTGAAATTTCACAGTACAGACCGAACAAGCGAGGTCAATAATCGGTTTATTATATGGCTGAACTGAGTCTGTGAGCATATGCTTTTCGCGCGAATTAAAATTAATTCGGCTATCGTCAGTTTCACTGGGTAACAATATACTGTAGGCATGCATGTTGAATAGAAAACAATTTGGTTGTTTGGAATTTTTATCTGTAAAGCACAATTGGAAATTTAAAAAGAAAAAATATTTCTGTTTGCAAAGCAAAAATTTCCCGCCAGATAAAGGACATCCGGAACACCGATCCAGATACGGAAAATACGGACCACGGTCCGGATATGGGCTTTTACGGATCGCTTGTCAACCAATCAGAATAGAGAATTTTGAAAAGCCATATAATGATTATGATGAATATGTGCGTAGTTTATTGAAATGAAATTCATCAACTTAAGTACCGAAGAGGGTTAATTTTCAATGGTTTTAGACCCGACTCTCAACTGTGAAAATATGCAATTCTGACTAGCATTTTTTTATCATACTCGTTCTTGCTTATTTTTTATCTATTTGGCTTATTTTTTATCATTCAACAGCTAAAAACCTGATCTTTCAGAAGATGAAAAAATCTCGTTCATACGCAGAGTAATTCAGATACAATAGCGCGCTGAATTCAGATACAATAGCGCGCTTATACACCCTGTATAACTCGTACGGTATTAAAGGAAATAAGATGCATGGATGCCTGTAGCATTGTATATTATTAGCATAAATCATGATATGTACATAAGTCCTGAACTAGTATTAAAGTCAAGAAATGAAGCAAAAGAGTGGAAAGACTCTGGTCCCTTGATTGCGTTAGAGATAGCCAAAATGGCATCTTTTCAAGTGCAACCGCCGGAAAAATTTACTTTCAAGCCAGAAGATTGGTTGAAATGGAGTCGGAGATTTGAGCGATTTAGGATGGCGTCTGGTCTCGAGAAAGAAAGCGAAGAAAGCCAAGTTAATACCTTGATTTATTCAATGGGTAAAGAAGCGGACGATATTGTGCAATCTCTCGGTATCGCTGAAGGCGACCAAAAGAAGTACGATGCATTGTCGGACATGTGCCATGCATATGGTAAAAAAACTGAACCGTTGTTTCCTACATCGTTTCCAGAAAGACCATGGCAAACTTTGGCAATCAACTTTTTCAAATGCGAGAACATTGATTACTTAATTATAGTTGATTACTTTTCACGGTATGTCGAAATTGAGCACAGCAACCGAAGTTTGCAGAGTCCTGAAGTCCATTTTCTCGCGACATGGTATCCCGGAGAGAGTTAAATCAGATAATGGACCCCCTTTCGATAGCGGCGAATACCTCCATTTCGCGAACGAGTGGGGATTCGAAGTTTGTCACAGCAGTCCGAAGTACCTTCAGTCAAATGGTGAAGTAGAACGAGCCGTACAAACCATAAAGAGACTGCTCAAGAAAGAGAAAGAGAAATAAAAAGCTTTGCTAGCTTACCGATCTACACCGTTATCCTGTGGATATTCCCCAGCCGAGTTGCTGATGGGAAGAAAGATTCGCACAACGGTACCAACATTCCATAAATTGTTAACACCGAAGTGGCCCGATCTTATTAAGCTACAGGAACACGAAGCTTAGTCCAAACTACAACAACAGAAGTTCTTCAATACCCGACATTGTGCAGTGCCACTTAAACAAATACCTCAAGGAACTGAAGTTCATATTTCCACACACCCAGAAAATGGTGTTGTAAAGACTAGTACGGAAAGTCCACGACAGTATGAAGTTGAGACTCCAACTGGTGTTATTAAACGCAACCGTGTTCAGTTGGTTCCACTGCCAGAAAAAACTATCGCGCAAAGAGAAACTAGTGAGTCGGAGGATAATAATATTCCTGAACTCAATATATATTCAAGGCCAAAACGAACTGTAAAACTATCGTTAAAAGCACGCGAGAGCAAAGGACTTGCTTAGAACATAATAGAACTGTAGAACCAGTAAAGTTAACTTATATTCAATTAAATTTTAATTAGTTAATTATTGAACAAATTGATTAACGAACACGTAGATTAATACTTTAGAAAAACGTTAAAAAATATTTAAAAAAGGGAGATGTTGTATTAGCATATTATTATTGTATATTATTAGCATAAATCATGATATGTATATAAGGCCTGAACTAGTATTAAAGTCAAGTTAGTAACACAACACCTGTAAAACTAAAACTTTATTATCGGCGTGAAGAAATCATGGATTTTAAATGTATGACAGGAACGGCACCAACTTATCTTAGTTCGCAATTTGTATATAGAGGTACAGTAGTTAAGTGCAAGGTGAACTAGACAAACTTCTCAGTTGTTATCTCTGTTTGGTATTTCCAGCTAAAGAAAACTCTATTATGCATTTTACTAATTTTAATGGAAAAAATAGTAAAATAATTTTTATTTCCATGAAAACTTATAATTGGCGCATGTAATTAGATAAAAATAAGCAATTATACCTTCGTCTGTATATACAGAATGATTTCCACAATTCTGTCCACTTCTCAGCTTTATACCGTGCAATGCTTGTACAATACATATTCAGCTACATTAAAGCTTCAGAATGAAATAAGAATAAAAATGCAACAGAAATGTGAAAATATGTGAAACATGCAACGATTGGCGGGATGTCATGAAGAATTTTGAAGCTCAGACATATTTAACCAACCACGTAAATATACGTTTTGCAGTGTAGCAATAGCAATAGCAATAGCAATAGCAATAGCAATAGCAATAGCAATAGCAATAGCAATAGCAATAGCAACAGCAATAGTCCGATCATCGATCAAAGCTATTCCGGTCTTTTATATCAGGAATTCTAGCAGATATATTTGAAAAATGGTTTGCGATGAGTAGGATATTTGTCTTACAACTACGAACTGTTTTCATCATTTTTCCTTTTGCATACAAACTTTCCTAAAAAATACTCAGAAAAAAATATTAATAGCAATTCAGTCTAAATTTTGTTCTTCTATAATTATCTAGATTATAAAGGCTGGCTGCATTACCACTTTCTACCATTTATAATATAAGAACGCAACTGCTATGCGTTTTAGGCAATAATTTATTGAATGAAATTCAAGAAATCCGTACCCAAGATGACGCGCAATAATGTTCAAAATATTTTGAACTTGAATTCAGCGTCTTTGCGAGATTTTGAATATATTCACCATAAAAATTTGAACGCGTCAGTTGGATATGCTTCATAATTTTACGGTATATTCAGTACTTAAAATTCATCGTTTTTAGCTAGTTTGTGTTCAAATCGATCAATTGACGGATTAATACCAATTGACTACACGTCGATGTCGCAAGTATAACCCTTTACCTGAACAATGGTATCCATCTCCAGAGTAGCCAACGTTACAGGTACATCTATATGAACCAAGTGTATCATCACAAGTTCCATTTCGACTGCAAGGATCTGATAAACACTCTTTGATATCTAAAGAATAACAGTTTATTTTCTATTTATGCAAATATAGGCAACATAATTTTATAATTCTTTAAGAAGGATCTTCATTGGGAAATCAAGAACAGCAAAAATGCACAAGTAATATGCAGATAGTGGTTGGTGCTGGTGCGGCAGTCAATATGGTCGGATTTCAGATTAATTATTTTTATCTCTAATCAGGAGCGTTTGATGACTTTAAACTGGACAAAAAAGGGTTTGAGAAATACGAAACCAGACCGATATTCGAAGAAGAACTTTAAATTAAACATGCACTGACTGACAGATAAATTTAGAACTACAGTACTACGATGTGCTCAAAACATCTTGGAATGGAATAGACACATAGATCATGTTTTTTTTTTACTAGAAATACTGAGATGCATGCAAGAACCACTCGCCTTATGTCTTAACTTATATCGATTCCGCGTTACTTGATTTCCGTAATGTACCGGAAGATTAAATATTACAGGACTCCGCGTCTGGCCCCGAGTATTTTTTTCAAATTTTAATTCGCCCAATTTAATTACACAAATTTTAATTATTATATTTACATGTTTATTATCTAGAGCTAGGAGCCAAGGTCCCTACTAGAAACCATCAAAAGGCTTTTGATTAAGACCCCTAGTTACATCATTAAGGATATTTTAAATTACAAAATAAGGATCCTATTTACAAACAAAACTATGTGACAGTGCTTCTGAATCAAGTGAGGTGCAGTATGATAAAGTATTTACATATAGTGCTACAGTAAATAAAATGTTATGATTACTATATAGTATATTATTATTATTAATGCATATAAAATTTGGTATTGCAGATATTGTTTTTAATTGGTAATAGTTTTTGTGGCAAGCCCGTTCGCGGGCTAGCCACAATGTAAAGCTGAACGAAGGATGTCAAGATGTGACGGAAATTGTCGTCAACTTCGGAAACTGTCGTTCATGACATGAGATTGCCTGCGATCAGGCCTGAAATAAATAAACATCGATCAGTTCGAGCAACACTGCAGTGTGCTTTGGAATTGGAAATTTGGTATTATATGTTCAATATTTCATCAAACAAAACAACGGAGATAAAGATAAACCAATTGTCGACAAAACATCAAAGATGAAGGTATATCAATGTATATCATCGCTATTTTGGTTGACATTTCGGTAATGTTACTAAACAGCAATATTATTATTGAAAGTGTACCGCATTATTAATTAAACCTATACTGGCTATAGATTTGGTGACTAATTGTACACTCTTTTCATATTTAAGG